GAATAAAAAGTTCCTCGACCAGTTTCTGATCAGACCGGCACTTTTCGAGTTGTCGTTGTTCGAAAAATCTAAAAATGAAAATGCCGGAAAACAAAAGATAGTTCAAAACAATTTATGGATTAAAGTTACACTTACCTTCAAACACCAAAAGTAGTTCGGGGAATCCCCATTGTTCCAATATCACCTACACTTTGTTCAGCCATTGAAAAAACATTAAAACACTAAAAGTTCGTAATGTAAATAACCGAAATTCAGTAGGTACAAGATTGACCACTTACCGTGAAAAAATGAGCTAGTAATTATGACACTGGACAGGGTCACAGAGTACTTTGTAATGATGTCCTCTCACATCTGGCTGGCACTCTGGGACATGCAAGGCAAGGTGAGATAAGCACATCCTGTCAACTACTTGGGAATTGCATGATTGCAGTATTATAAATAAAATTTTATATTATTTTCGTCCTTCAAGTTAAGGAATTTAGTATGTTGTCACAAATACAGTGGTATTAGGTTTATCAGCAAACTGCTTTTTGTTATGAAGGCATACTTTTATGTTCATGGAATCAATGCAAAATGCTCGTTGGCGCTCTTAACAAAAAATGTTTGCTATCCTCCAACAAAGTTTCATTATTAACCCCAGGAAATCGCAACTACTTGCGAAAACTAAAGCAGTAAATTATTTAGTTCTAAAAGCCATTTCTTTTTGCTGCTCGCTGCAACAATATGCATGTAGCAATTCTAAATTTGTTACCACAAGGAAGTCATTTTTTTCAGTGTAAGAATTGTTTTTTTACGGAGTTATCAAATGCGCGGGATTTTTTTAAATATTTATTTAAGAGCTATTATCAACGTTTTCATTTGGTATATAACTTATTTTTTCGAAAAACAACCTTTCAGAATTGGTACCACAAGAAGTACCCGCAGCGCCTTAAGTCGTATGACCTGAGGCGGCAGACGATCGATTTTAGCATACTCTGATAGGGCAAAATGGAACACCATCGGTTAAAATTTTGATCATTCTCGTTCAGTGGATTTCGTGTTAGCTCCCCTACTAAATGGTATTTCCTTTTATCACCAATCAAAGTTAATCTGTGTATAGAGTAGGTATATAAATACTAATACATCCGCATGCATAATATGTAGTTGTTACTTGTGAACAACCATATAAAGTGATCCTAAAAGAAGGGTTCCATGTATAATAAAATGTTACTTTTTCGTTAAAAGGGCGCAAGGACGCAGCACCTTGTCTTGTAAATTAATTATAATTGAAGAAATGACCCCCTGTAGAACTCATTAATATGTAGGTATATGGAAATAATAATAATTTAATAATAATAATTGACTTTATTCCCATACAAAATAATATACATGAGCATTCACTACATGAGAGTAAAACAAACAAAAAATTTCTTTTTAAGATATCTACAGGAAAAAACAAGAGGAGAAAAGAGAAGAAAGAAAGTGAATTTTTTACATCAAAAATTTAATAGGGAAAGGGATTCTCTATGCACTAAGCATACACCCCTGAGTTAAAGTGTAGCTTTAGTTTTTTTTTTTCATCATTTTTGTTCTATTTTCAGCAAACGTGACTTAGTTATGCAAGAATAATTAATATACTGTCCAGAAGTGTCGTTTGATATAACGGCGATCGTTGAAATAGGGTTTTATTTATTTTTGGCAATTTGGCAATATTGGAAAATGTTTCTCTGTCCATTTACTGAATTGCTTCTCGTTTCCTGGGAAAGGTGCGTGCTGGAGAAAACGGCTACATCTGATTTCTATTTCCCGTTATTTTTTTGTATTTAAACTTAGATGAAATGAAAGTTAAAAGTGTGGTCTATGCGATAGAGAAGTTAAAGGATACTGGCATTTGATTAGTTTTCAAGACATATCCGTTTGAAAATCGTCCAAGCATTAGAAAAATCTGGATATGCTAGGACGGGTTCAGATGTTAAAATATTCTTGCATATGTTGATAATATCCAAGAATCCCCGAATATCTCCGCCTTTATTATTCCTCCTGAGGCACTGCGTTTTGTAATTTTGGCGAAGTTTTCGATGACTTTCCTAACAATCGTAGAAAAGATTTAACTTCTTGTTGAGTTTTTGGGATTGGGTACTTTTGAATCACTAATAGTACTTTCCTTTTATTCCGTCTTATAAATGTCCTAAAAGTTCCACTTCCCTGTATAAAAATTCTCATTTATCGATTTGTATTTTTAAATTTGCCTGTCGAAGTTTTTGAAACATGAATTTTAAATTTTCTATATGTCCCTTTAGACTGGTATTTACCACTAAAACGTCATCCATGAATGTCAGATTGACTAATGTCTATAATGGCTCCTGTCATCACTGACAAATTGACTTAAGCAAATGTTCTGTATAAAAATTGAAATTTTATATTAAAATACGATTTCGGGTAAAATTTAATACAAAACTCGTCAGTAAAATAACACTACTTGACTCGGAAATTAAAGTACTCGGTCTCAAATGCCCATGGCACACTTTTGGGTTCGGAAAGGTACCTACGTTTTTTTTTACAAATTAGCGTTTCGACTTGGTTTTTCTCAACATTTTCTTATGGAATGTGTGGTTTTGTTTAAATCAGTGGAAAATTTGTAGTTTTGGCTACCCAGAGGTATAATTTGTTTAGGAGGGTGTCATTTAAAATTTTAAAAAAATATGACATTTAGCGAAAGTCAATCAAAAATTTTATTTTTTCGATAAAGTACCTTAAAAAAATTATCTGATTCTGGAAGAGGTCTTAACCTGTGCCTCAATCCAAAAAATAGCCCGCTGTGCGATTTAGTTTTTCTCAAAAAAAATTTGAAAAACTGTCAAATTTTGACGAAAAATGGTTACAATAGCGAAACCGTTAAAGTTAAGGGTATCATGTTACATAAAAAATAAGTACTTTTCAAGTACTCTCCAAATCAGTAATAAAGTATGGGTTGTTTCATTTAAAAAAATGCAAGTTTATACGCCACTGGAATGCAGAATACAAATTTTTGTCTCGTATGGTTTTTTGACACGGCCGCCATTTTGTTTTTTTAATGGCAACATAGGTCTTGCAACACATCGTTGGAAAGCTTATTTTACCTTCATTACGAATACGCAATAGAAAAAGAGGGTTACGCAAACGTAACTAATTTATTAGAGCGAAATTGTGAATAATACAACAAGAATTGTTATCTTTTTTTGAGTTTTTTTGGTTCCATCTTTATTAGCCACTCTGTATACGAATCCAAAGATTTCCGTTTGCTCGCTGTGAAATAAATAGAACGCGAAAGCGTTTCAAGAAAAAAACTGATTCAAAGTGCGCAAACTCAGAGTTAAGCTTTTCTTTTGAGGCCCTTTCGGTCAAGGGATTAAAGAAACAATGTACCTATCCACAATTCCTGGGTTACCCATGCTAAATTTCTTAGATTGACTGAACATGGTTTATACTTAGACCATATAGTACATGGACTGCTATTAGCCCTATGCTTCAATACAAAATGGGTGGTCACGGATAGAGGGCACTGTAGTCGTGGGTATGTGAATCTCAGGGTAAACTAAAGTCGTATGAACACAACTCGGATCGCGTGAAGAATAGCTTTTATGGTAACCGCGTAGTACGGGAAGCTTTAAATAGGTACTCTTGTTTAAAAAATCAATAGATCGTTTTCTATTAAAGGTAAAGATATTGTTGCTAGTATTTCTGAACGTGTTTGAATTGTGTACTCAATAATAAAAAATATATAGGGTGTTCTAGGCGGAAGTGAAAACAAATTGCCATTATGGCCAATGAATTTTTTGCTTTTTACTATAATTTGGAAAAATTCATTTCATTGATAAATTAGGAATATGTTTTCCTCTATTTAAAATAAGGAGGGTTTTAATGTGTGATATTTTCTATAAAGGTGTAAAAAAATGGGTTTGTGGTCTAAATTTTGGACGGTATAAAAAGTTTAAACTGAATTGTATGTGTAGGTACAATTGTATAGGTATAAAGTAGACATGCAATTGGAGGAATGCATGGAGCTTATGATAATTAGGTACTTACTTCTTAGAGATTAAGATTTATTACATTCCAACCCTAAAAATAGTCTCATGAGTGGAAACCCTTGGCATGTGTAAGGGTTGATTAAATTTCAGAATAAAGGAATCTCCCAATTTTTAATGGACTTAGACTAGAAACCAATTTCGAAAGAAAATTTAAAGGGCTGTAACTTTTGAACTAATAGCCCAATCTTGGAACTGTTTCAAATTATGGATTCTACAGGCCCCATATTCTATAAGAAAATTTTTTTACGGGTCGATCTGAGACAATTTTTTTTCGGGCCTCAAAAAAAGGCAGTGTATAACCTTCCTTTTTTACCAAAAATCGACTACACCAAAATTTCTCGGGAAAACACTTTTTCTTATTAATTTGGGTGAGTAGAATCCAAATCAATTCGTACTTTTTCGATCAGACTTCTCAATCAAAAGTTATAGACTAGAAACCAATTTCGAAAAAAAATTCATAGGGCTGTAACTTTTGAACTAGTAGCCCAATCTTGGAACTGTTTGAAATTATGGATTCTACAGGCCACATTCTATAAGACATTTTTTTCCCGAGTCGATCTGAGACAATTTTTTTTGTCGGGGCTCAAAAAAAGGCAGTGTATCACCTTCCTTTTTTACCAAAAATCGACTGCACCAAAATTTCTCGGGAAAACACTTTTTCTTATTAATTTTGGTGCGTAGAATCCAAAACATTTCGTACTTTT